AGGTACAACAGAAATTTCCACAAATGCATTCCAGTTGTAATAGTACGATTTTTACTCTCTTGCTCTTCGCGAGAACAGAAATTGTGTATAACACATGGAAATTCGCGGAACGAGAGAGGAAATCCGCAAACTGGGCAAAATTGGAACCACGTGAACGCCAGACAAGATCGAAACCAGTGCGCCGATTACTGGAACGTGTACAGAGCCACACTGTCTCGTTGTACAGCCAGTTAATGATGTTTCGATTAGACTGCTGCGCTGGCAAGCCTTCCACAGAAGAGAAAATCGTTCGCGACCCGTTTACCCGTGGCGTAGAACCATCGTGTCAGATGACGAGCTGAACACACCCTATCAATTCAAGGCGTAACTGGCCGTATGTGTCACTGAGACGTCGCGATAACTCGAGGGAAAGGTTTTAAAGGTTAATTTTCAACCTTAATAATAATATATTGGCGGAGCAACCTGTTTTCTAAAAATTGCGAAACCATAACGAAGGACCATCTCTATTCTTTTTCTTTCCTTTTTACGATACGATTGATCAACGATTTCTTACAGTGAATTTTCGTGAGATCAAGAGATTTTTTTTTTTTTATTTATAAAAAGAAAAGAGTGTTCATCCTATCTGTAGAGTATAAAAATTGGAAGCAAAATTACAAAGAGATTAATTTTGTAATTAAAAATCCCAATAGTGATTAAGTACGAAATATATGCTCTAGATATCCTTCAATAACGATCATGCAATTAGATTCGAACCCAAGTCGATATTTTTGTAAAGTGTAAATTTCAAAGGAATAAGAAAAGCAAATTCGAGGCCGAGTCGAAATCGAAAGTCGTCAACAACGCGGGTAAAGTCAAAGGTGAGATGCAGATCACCGAATCAACATGTCGGATAAACGAGGTGGGTAATTTGTGCGCGGATTACCACTTTCAGTCTTGGATCGATCTACTGGTGCCACTGGGCTACCACATGACCGCATCGAGCGATTAGCCGCATTTAAAGCAAAGCTAGATTGAAAGATTAACCCACTCGTAAATGGTGGTCCATTGCAGAAGTTGAACCATGAACCCCCGTGTACGAAATGGCGAGTCAATTGAACGCGAAACGGCTGTCTCGAGCAGCTACTATAAACTATTATTATACTAGCTATCGTCTTCGTATTGGACTCGACATCGATTCTGTACGGGTTCTGTACGGTTTCGCATTAATTACATCCGCGGTTAGATAATTAAACGGCGTAATTGAACGTTACCGTCGAGGCCATTGGGGAACTTTATTCGAGACACGCCGATTTTATAATGTTCTACCTGTTGGGCCTTGCTTTTATTCCAACTGAGAATATAACTCGCGGATAATCTCGTTCATACGCTGTAGGGAATTATACGGCGCGCAATTGTGAGAATAAGTACAAGAAGAATTTAATGACCGATCGGAGCAAGTACAAACGTGAGATTGAATAGTCTTGATCTTTCGATAGGAAGTTATCAGAAGATGCGAGTAAGAAGGAGTTATCGTTTCTCGAAAACAAGAGAAAGAGAAAAAAGAAGTGCAATTTAACGAGCAATGTGTTCCGCGATTTAAGATATTTCCTCTATAAGTACGAACTGCATCGACGACTTATAAATCAGCCATCGATTTTTCAATCGTGATTAATCAAATTACAAACAAGTTCTGATTACACTGTTTTTATTGTCAAGAGACCAGCGACAAGTCCACTTTCATCTGAGACGTAATTAGCAGGCGTTTGTGATATATTATTGTGATCTTGAAGATTTGTTATCTTTGTTAAAAAAAAAAAAAAAAAAAAAAAAAATCACGATTCTGACTCGACTCTTCTCTTCGCTATAAATTTGAAATTCTTTTTCACAATAAAAAAAACAAATCAGATATTTTCTAATTTCCATTTATTAATAATCCAACTAACGCCTGGCAATGATAATTATTTAATGCTCGTAACTTGCAACTCGTACGTTATCAATTCAATCGTGCAGATGGCAAACAAACTCGGGAAGCGAAACATTCTTCACAAAAGTTACCAGAAATTAATTTACCAGTGAGCTTCTTTCCCATTGTTTCGAGCGAGTCACCTATCACGAGACGAGTCTCACTCGCTTTTCGACGACACGCTGTCTCGAAAGACAGAGAGAGAGAGAAAGACTCACTTTCTATTCCGTTCAGAGGTAGAAAGTTAGAGGAGTGGTGCAACGCGTTTCCGTGTTGTTGATCGCGTTTCAAGGGATGTGTCTCGAGGGGTCGACGCATCGAGAACCAGTCTGGAATCGTAGTCGAGACACTGTCGCGACGGTTCTTCCAAAAAAAAAAAAAAAAACAGAAGCCAGCGATAAATTAATTCCCCAGAGAAGAATGCCCCGTAAAATCGGCCGATTAGCGAGGGACAGCGTCGCGAATCCAATTATATCAGCCGCTGAAAATTCCCTCGAAGGGAGTGAAAGTAAGAGGCAGATCGAAAGTAGGAGAGGAACGACGCGATGCTCGCTTTCGGAAGTGCAGACCGGCTGGAATCGGTCGACAGAGCCGGTAATTAAAACCTTTCGATCAACGCTTCTCCACCGATTTTATCGTTTTACTTCGTCTATCAGCTTAGTCGTAAAATATGAAACATATTTAAGATTCATGCGAATTCGCTTTTACTCTTCGCAATAAATAAGTGGATTTAATAAAACAAGTTGTAAAACATCAACGGGGAATTAATTTAAAATTTGCTTTCTCTTTAACAGTTAATTCTCAATTCATTCGTTCTCTTCTTCTTCTTTTTTTTTTCATTAATTACCTTAATATCGAACGAATCGCATTTGATATATTTGAAATATAGCACTAGCAGAATGTACATAAAAGTACTGATTTTAAGAAATTCGTATATAAATTGTCCTGATTTGATATTGTTCCTTAGCAAAAGATTAAAGACTTGATTAATGCTTTCAAATAATTATTACAATTCTTAATCTTAATAATAATAACATACGAATGCACGAGCTTCTGGTGACGAATGAAACAAATCGGAATTGAATGACAGTTTCAAACAGAATTCTGTTTTCAGGGCTCTGTTGTTGAAGCAGTGGTAAGTAAAATATTTCGATTCTTACATAAGACGTAAGGTTTCATCCAAGGTTTTGTAATCGTGACCCCTTGTATGCGGCTTCGTCGATATTCGTTTCGAATGTCCGCTGGAAGCCAGTCTTTTCGTTGAAATTCCCGCAGCAGGGATTTCGTATTACGATATCGATGGAATGAATGGATACGTGGGCCGACCTTAGTTTATCAATGGATGGTAATGCAATAGACGAATCGGAGAGATTAATGCACATACGAGATCTCGTCTATCTGAACAATTAGCTTAGTTTATTGTACCTTTTATTTCAATGTGGCTCCACTAAACGATTAAGTAACTCGAACTGTTCTAAATGAAATTGCTATATTAAATATAGTGTAATACTATTGCATTAAAATTCTTAACAACGGTAAGGTTGATGTATATTTAATTTAGCCAAGATTTTGTTAAAAGAAAAAAATTATTAGCTGATTACAACTGATTTACTCCGATCAAGAACTTAGCAATTACAATCAACTCAATGATGATGAAATATAGTAAATATTAAATGAAATATAATGTAAAAGAAATATAAATATATAATACGTAAAATTATAAGATCAAAGTTAAACAGTGTCAACCGATCGGCAATTCAGTCGAATTTCTTCACAAGAAAATTCATTCGAACTTCTAAGAAATTTCGTTACTTTTCGTACTGACGATTTGAAAGATTCTCGAAATCGATCGCGACGTCCATCGTGATCGTCGTCTTTTCTCTTTTCCTTTAGTCGCGAAAATAAATTTAGGAGCACGTGGATCGTCCCGAGTACCGAGGCAGATCGATCTTAATAATTTCCTTTCGCAACGTGAAATGGCCTGCGTAGGCGCGGAAATATGGAACTGATCCGCCCACCGGGACTTTTTTATAATAAAAGGAAAAGGAAAATGACGGAGGAACAATGAAAACAACGGCACGAACTGCGTGAGAATTATTATGAAGCCAACTTATGGCGCACATTTCATACCTCCGTTCGTTTCAGATACAATCTGGCCGACAATGTTTCAGTATGTATATTCTGTGCGTTTCAGTTTCATTCACACATCTCGAATTGTATGTCTCAGACTGCACTTCCAGCTATCATAGTAGATTCTGCCGTCGATTAAATTTTCCGATTTATGGAATTTTAGATTGAGTTTGACTTGAAATACGATAAACTTCTCGTACCCACGCGACGTGTAATGTAATTTAAAAAATAGGTGCTAACTGTTCCATCAAAGAAACGTTACGTACAACGTGTCAAAAATCCTTTCAACTTCTATTTCCAACACAGGGAAATATAAATTGGAAATAGTAAAATAATTTAGTTCAGTAGTTATCACAAATGCGAAGTAAACTCGAAGTAAACGAATCTAAAGTGATCTAATTATCAAAACTAACGAGTTATTAAAAATCTTCGGGCTGTAACACTTACTATGGCTTACCATGGCTTACAATGGCAGGTCGTTTATCATTTTCCATCCCTTTCGATCCTCGCAGAATCCGCCAACTCTGCTCTCGGACGGATTGTGAATTTTTAGTCGTGAGTTCTCTCTCGTGTCAGTGAACCGTCTCAGACTTTCTCACTCGACTTCGGAATCGAGAGGCCTCGAGTTCACCGAAAGTTCCTGCCGAAACGCGATGGCGGCAGTGACGCAACCGGTGCAAGGTGAGATCGTTCTCCAATACGCAGGAGGCGCGTGACGCAACTGGATCGCGGAGGGCACGATTAAAATGCACAATAAAAATCGGCGAGGGATTACGTAAAACCGAGCCGACAGAAAAGATGAAAATAATAAAAAAAAAAAAAAGAAGAAAGGGGGAGAGGCGAGATTGGCCCATCCGA